CGTGTTTCCCATCTTCTGTTATGTCGTGGAGCCAGACTTCTGCTTGATTCCTCTTCACTGATCACTCGCTGTTGTGTTGAGGACAGCCTCAGGGTTCTGATCCAAATGGTACCCTCCATGGGGCTGCGATGTCTGGAAACTAGGTTGATGGGTGTGCACAGGGATGGGTTACTCATATTTTAACTGAAAATGCATTAATAAATCCAATGTGTATTCCACGATGTTCTTTCCTAAAAATAGGTAAGTCTCAGTAGAAAGTCTGAAATTCCAAATTAGGGTGTGAAAATTTCCACTTCTTACATTATAGGGTCACATATTTTCCCAAGCAATTCTCAAGAAGATGCCATTATAATAAGAGTGTTTACTAAAGCGAGACGTGGTAGTGAACTTCAGGTAACTTCAAAGTTAAATAAACTGTGTTCTTCTCAGGATTAGCTTTCCAAAATTGGAAGGAGTTGATGGTTGATGAATGGAAATGCCAGACCCTAGTCCACACATGCAATTGTTTTGCTATAGTCATATACATTACTATATATTTATGTGTTTACTATAATTAATATTCTAAATATTCATACCATTGTATACATATGTACATAAGATTTTTCATGGAACAAGTATCTTTAAACAAAAAAAATGAGATTACCTACAGTTATATTTTAAGTATATTCTGTAATTTATATCAATAGATGTGTTGAAAAGAATAATGAGCTAATATTCTTTCCAGCTAAGATTTTTAAAATAATTTTCAAAATTTCATTCTCTCTCTCTCTCTCCCTCCCTCCCACCCTCCACTACAAAGCCTTTCAATTTTCATGCTTCTAGAATTAATATGCTCAGAAAATCAAGTGGACAGTCTTTAAATATTATAAGTAGAAGCAATAAGAAAACATTGTCAGCACTGTTTAAAAATCAACCTCATAATTTCATAACATATATTGTGCATATTGGTGGCAAGAGCATCTGCATCCCCAGACACTAACAGGAAACATAGTTAAAAGACAGTTTTATTTTTCTTAAATATTTAATCTTTTGTTGGTCCAGAATATCAGATCTAATCTCCAACTAAATGCAGCAACAGCACTGTTGTAAATCAGTCATGAGGAGGCCTGTGGAACACTGTCCAGACAACTTTGTCTGCAGTGTGATGATGTATAGATAGAAAGCAGTCTGCTGTAACTTACTTAGTAAACATCTGTTATTAAAATTCAGATTTAAAAATGGAAAGTAAAAATTGCTATTAGGTAAATAACTTACTGAAATATTCTAGGGTCAATGTTTCATTTGTCAAACACCCTAAGTTTGTTAAGTTTTAAGTTTAGCATCTGGATGGAATTATCCTAAAATAGTATCACAATCCTCAGATCAGCAAATTTTACTTTTGCCCACAGCTCTTTCTGTGAAAAAAAAAAAAGAAGAAGAAAAATGGTCACTGGAATGCATTTTTCCATTAGCTCTAGTTCATTTAAAAAGCAATGAGATAATAATGAAATATGACTAAATAAACAGATAAGTAAAATTACAATCTACTGTGACAGAAGATTGATTTCTTTTGCATGGAAATTAAGTCCTACTGAAGTTGCTATGTATCTATCATACTTAGCGCTTGACTGCTTGCTGTGGTTGTGTGGTTTATGCCTAAGCCAAGAAACTTGAATGATGACCAAACCATATTTTGCTTCCCTCAACTGCTCTTTAATTTAGATTTTATCAATTCAAAACCAGACTATTTTTCTAATCTGTTAATAAGGACTAGGTACTTTTTCTAAGACACGTATGTGGTGGTAGAGTAGTCCCAGTATTAGAAGTAAGTGATGGAATAAGAAAATATAGGCATGGATATGTGCTTATACTCAAGCTGAAGAACATCTCACAATTCACATAAGATGTAGTGAAGAATATAAGAAATATACTTTAGTTAAAATTGCAGGAAGATCTTGAAATCTGAGAACCCAAGAAAGAAGTTATGAAATGTCCCACAAATAATTCTAAGTATATAGGCATAAGCTTTGGAGACTAGGTAGAAATGAAAGGATGAAATATTAATAATCGACAGGATATTTCTTCCGTCCACAGATCATTACTGAGGTTGGGGTTGTAAGAAACACCAATGGGCTACACACTGCCACTTTTATTCAGTTCTTACTTCTAAGTGTCTTAGTTTGGGTTTCTATAGCTGTGAAGAGACACCATGACAATGGCAACTCTTATAAAGGAAAACATTTAATTGAGACTGACTCATACTTTTAGACGTTTGGTTCATTATCATCATGGCAGGAAGTGTGGTGTCATACAAGTAGATATAGTGCTGCAGAAGGAATTGAGAAGTCTACATCTGGATCAGCAAGTTACAGAAACTAAATGCCACACGGGGCATGACTTGAGCATCTGAGACCTCAAAGCTCACCCCTAATTGTCACACTTTCTACAACAAGGTCACACCTCCTAATGGTGTCAATCCTAATAGGCCTTCGGGGAGGGCAGTTTTATTTAAACCACCACATAAACTAAAAGGTGAGGGTAGATTTTTTTGTAGAGGTGGGAAAGACTAGCCATATGGTTTGGATGAGAATACTCACCCCCATAGACTCATGTACTTGAATATTTAGTCCTTAGTTGGTGTAACTGTTTGTAAAGGATTAGGAGGTGTGGTCTTATTGGAAATAGTATAACACTGGGGATGTAGTCTGATATTTCAAAAGAATCCCAACATTCCCATCCTCTGTCTCTCTCTCTCTCCCATGTCTGTCTGTCTGTCTGTCTGTCTCTCTCTCTCTCTCTCTCCCTCCCTCCCTCCCTCTTTTCCTCCCTCTCTTTTTCTATCTATCTATCTATCTATCTATCTATCTATCTATCTATCTATCTATCTATCTATCTATCTCTCCATTTAGAGATCAAGATATAAACTCTCAGCTATTGTTCCAGTGCCCTATCTGCCTGCCTGCTTTCCATGCTCCCTTCCAAGATTGTTAAGGACACTAACCCTGTAAAACTGTAAACCCCAAGTAAACCTTTTGGTCAAGCTCTTTTAGTCATGGTATCTTGTCACAGCAATAGAAAAGTAAACAAGCCAATTCTCCAAGCTAATTCTGCAATTTCAGGTCAAATATGGTCTTAAGGGTCTCCCATAGGCAAACAAATAATATGATACAAAACATAAACATTTTTTCTAAACTGATTCTTCTTTAAGTTTGTATTACATTTATTTGTTTTGGGAGGCAGCAACTGAAGAGACTCAGTTTACTCCTTTCTCCATGTAAGTCCAGTAGATCCAATATGGATTGTCAGTGCTCGCAGCAAACTCCTTTACCTACCAAGTCACCTAACCTAGCCAGCTCTAAACTGATTTTTAATAAGGAACTGGCTTACCCAGAAGCAAGTGACAAAAGCAAAGCCGAAGGGCACAACTTGCTGACACTGGGCCCTAACACAATAGTTTCAGTAAACTTAGAGAAAAATCAGGCAAAGAAACAAAACACAACAAAAACTGAGCTTGACATTAACCTCATACTTCATATTAGTTAACTGCGGATGAAAATGCAAATGGTCGACTTCTAATCCTGAAGTTCTATGACTACGTGTTATACTGCACACATATGCACATAACAAAATAGAAAAGTATATACCTGCAAACACATTCTGCAGTAAGTGTCAGGTATGGAAACCATTCACTCAAGATGAGTAGGGAGAAAAGATTGCAATCTAAAACTTTGATAGGAACTACAGGTATTCAAAAGATAAAATACTAAATACTAAAAGATGACAATTTGGCAAATAGCTATATAAAACAGAAAGATTTATAATGTCTACACACCTCCATCAAAAATTGAGACCATATTAACAATATGAAACAAGTAAAAAAATGTATGAGTTTTACATATCAAGCACAACCAAAGAAAATATATGGAGAAAAATAAGAACAGTAAATCACTTGTAATCTGTAAGAGCCATTAATATATAAGATATTCTAATAGTTCTGTGGAATATCAATTTCAAAAATTCTATGAAAAACGGACAGCAATACAAAAATGAGATGATAAGAGGACAGGCGAAATGTGGAGGATTACAAGTGTGATTAATATGAAGACAGTTTACACACTTGGGGGAGGTTTGCTATGCTTGTTAGCATCATCTTTGTTACAAACATGTACAATGTTTTATACAATGAAAAAAAGTGAACTTATCTACATGCACCAAGATAATCTGAGGGTTGTCCAAGACAGAAAGATGATGAGAGATGATACAGAAAGTTTCTAGGTATACAATAAACTTAAAATGTTTCTGTTTGGAATGGCCTAAATCCCCAAACTTTTGTGATTGACCAGAAGGAATTGTAGGACTCATAGCATAATCCCTCTGCAGCAAAGACTCACCACAGGGACATAATAAGGTTTAGCAGCAGAAAAGAACCTGTGGGTTCTGGATCTGTTAGTGGGAGGGATTCCTATGCCTTCCTGGAAAAAGGAAGCTGCTTGTGAAATATTAAGTCCAGGGATGTCTACTTGAGACTGATAGATCAGGATATTTATAGGGCATGATTATGCAAGCATTGTTCACTAATAAACACAACTCTAGACTCCCAACAGAAACAAGTGTTCTCAGGAACTGACAGTGTTTGAATAAACAGTATTAACACAGCAAAACATTCTTACCATTTAGTGAAAAAATGAACATTCCAGAGCTGTGTTAACTGGTACCACTCAGGGGTCAACTTTGTATGTAAGCCCCGCTAAAGATGATAGCCTTGGCTCTACCACAGTATTCTCCACTTAGTTACACTCCAAGATTTACATTCAAAAATAGTTTTCCTATCATATGATAATATCATAAGTATTTGTAATATATTTCTGTAAATTAAATAATGGATTAAGGACTAACAGTCTTTGAAATTTCCTGCTTCGTGAAAAAGTCTGCCAGATACTGTGGACCTGTAGGCTGAAGATGGATGCCCCAATATTACAGAAGAACATTGGGTGACTGTCCAGGCAGCAAGATGTCTCTGTCAATTCTGAAGTTTTGGAACTTGCTTACAATGTACTTCCTATTTACTTAGGTAATATTATATCCTTCTGGGGTTTTTGAAGAGTTGAAGACAATTATAAATGATAAATAAGATACTAAACTTTAGATTGACAAAGATAGGATAAATGACTAAATATTGTAATGGTAATTCTTGTTTGATACCTGTTTTGTTATGTGCAATTTTACTATGTTAATGTTAAAATCTTTCTTTTTAATTAGATAAAAAGGGGGAGATGAGGTGGGATGTCCTTCTGTATATGTGTTATTTTTATTGGTCAATGAATAAAGCTGTTTTGGCCAATGGCTTAACAGAGTAAAGCCAGGCAGAAAATCTGAACAGAGATATCTATAGAGAATAGGGGTCATGGAGTAAAGGAGATGCCATGTATCTGCTGAAGGAGACAGACACTTAATGGAACCTTACCCGGTAGGCTACAGCGTTGTGGCTATACACAGAATACTAGAAATTGGTTGATTTAAGATGTAAGTTAGTTAGTAGGAAGCCTAAGCTATTAGCCAAGCAATGTTGTAATTAACATAGTTTCTGTGTGATTATTCGCATCTGAGAGGCCAGGAAATGAAAGAGCTGTCTCCTTCTACACCTTGTATGGGTGCTAGGAACTAAACCCTAGTCCTCTTCAAGGGCAATGCATGTTCCTAACCACTGATACATCTCTACACCCTCTTCTTTGTTCTTACAGTATTTTATATTGACATTCAGCAATTTCCAAATACTGAAAAATTTTGAACATATTATGAAAATAAATCATTTCTATTGCATATATTTTAAGCTTTATTTTAGGTATTTGCATTCCTTTCTGAACTCAAAAGATATTACACTTATTCTCTGGATTAATTGTTTTCATTGGTGAAAACAAAGGCATTCAAACCAAGTGTGATGGATCACACCAGTAATCTCAGTACTCTTGAGAGTGATACAAGGGCATTGTGATTTCCAAGCCATCCTGGACTACATAATGTGCCCCTGTATCTATGGCAACACCAATAGCAATAATGAGAATGAGCAAAGGAGTTAGACATTGTTTCCAGCTCCTAACTTGGCACTGGGGATCAACTGGAGAGGTTTTTCACGTGTGCAGAATCTAGTCTGCAGACCAGGTTTTGCTTTATCAAGTACTAAAGTTTACCATTCTATGGTTGAACTTTCAGAGTTTTGTGACTCTCAAGCCTGCACTGAGAGAGAGCACAGCAGCAAAAGTTTTTTCTAAACTGGATTGGGAGTGGATGTAGGTCACCAAATGTAGGTAGAAATGTTCTTGGCAGTCACAAGACCTGAGGTTCAATCCATAGCACCAATGAGAAAAAGAAACTGAATTAAAACTATATAATAACATATATGATCTAATGTACCCATATTTCAAAAGACAGAAATAGACTAAGTAGCAGCTTTGCTTTTAAAATATTTTATTTATTCTTTGACAGTTGCATATACGTATTTAGTATACTATACTCATATCCACCTCCTCATCGTATTTTGTTCCACCCTCTCCTGCCCAACATCTTCTCCAAAGTCTTCTCCTACTTTCATGCCTTTAAGAAAATCTTCTTATCCTAAAAGCTAAAAGTCAAAACAGTATTTGAGGCAAAGTATAATACTAAATGACATATAAGTGATATCAGTGAAGGAACAAACATACTTTGTAGTTTTTAAAGAAAATCTTAGTGTACAAAATTAAGAGTCTTTTACAGAAAATAATACTGAGCAGTCATGTATAAAGAGTTCAAGGATTGTTTGCAAACGTCTATTTTGTCTTTTAAAGCAATTCTCAAATGAAGATAAGAAGCTTTTCCAACAGAGCCTTCCAGAACTCCCGCTTAGAAGATAGCCTTCAAAGCTCAAAACACCAAAGAGCCAGAGCTTTCTCCTCCCCTTCCAAGGTGGGCGTGGGGTGAGAGGAACAGAAAAGACAGGTCTGTCTCATACACAGTCCTAATGATGACATAAAACTTTCATCTGCTGATCGTCTTTCCTCATCTGCAGAGCCAAACATTAACAGAGCCTTCACAATAAAAAAAAAAGAACGGTGCAAGCTTCAAGGCAGGAAAGAAATATCTTGTCTTCTGCATATGTAGTGAGGAAACACAGCCAAACATCAAGGTACAGACCTGATAAAATATTCAAGAGATATACTACAAAGAGAGTAAGAAAAAGTATAGCAAAGGATATGAATCGATATTGAGAATTCAGACTATCTAATGTACTGTTGTGACTATAACGTGCCATGTAGACTCATCTTCCATATTTTTAAGATGAAGTGGAGGGTACCAGAAACAGATCAAGTATTAGCGAGATTTGCTCACACATGGAGAATATTGTAATAGGTAAAACAGGGCACTAAATAGAAGAACATAACTTTATCTTGTCTGTCAGACTAAGACGAATCTTTCAGTGAGTTTCAGAAGAAATTTTTAAAAATAACCATTTGACAATTTTTAATGGAGGTTTCTCAAAAAAGAAAAAATACAAAAAGATTCTTAAAGTTTATTTGGGCTTCAAGGAACCCAGACACCAACAACTAAGCTACTGCTACTTTAAGTATCTGTTCTAACAGTGCCCATCTCTTTCTGTCTGGTCACAGGGACACAGTCCCCACTTTGGAAGATGTATGCATTATCTCACCAGCTGAAAGAATCTTACAAAAATCTGGCAAAGGCAAACTCACCAGAGAAAAATCTACCCAAATGCAGCAGTACAGAATCCACTCAGTGCTCCCAGAGATATATTCAAACACCTCTATCATTAGAGAGAGAGAGAGAAGCAGGGGCCTCAGAACCCATGACCACAGAGACGTGCAGCTCAACTCCTGTATAAGCGGTTCTCAAACCACTGCCTTTCCACTTGTTATGAGTTCATAATTCTTGCTCCATTTTGGTGTCTGAAAATTACGTGCAGATGTTCCGGTTCTCTACTGGCATGTCAGCAATTATACCAAGAAATAGTGGCTGAAAAAAAAAACAATCATTTCATTTTCCCCCCAGTTTCCATGGATTAGGAATTCAGGAAGAATTTGGACAAGAGGTTCTTTACCAACCTCTCATTCACTCACAGACTGATGTTTGGACCTGGTTCGGGCGACTGTCTAGGTAGCTTATAGACAGAGTTTGGGTTTCTGTCTTCGTTGGGTAGTTTGAACTTCCTTGGCTGCATGGTCCTAAGAGAACTAACCTCCTCACTGGGCACTTATTGTTCTCGCACTCTGACTATGTAAGAAACTTCCCCAAGTGGCCTCTAACAATGTAAACTGTGCTTTTGTTCATGACTGATTTCAAATGGTGTGACCATTACTTCAAACACAGCTGTCCTGGAGACCTTCCCTTTAAGGAGGATGCATAAACGGATGATGTATCAGGGTGGGATGCAGCTGAGGACTCAGAGCCATGAATTTAGGTCTGCACCTTTACACAGCTTTCTTAGGCTTCCTGGTAATGTGGCAATGTGGTATGTCTAGCATCCAAGAACTAGTGTTCTACCAGCAGAGAATTTAGTATCTTTTCCCCCCCAATATTGTAAACTATGTTGCATCCTGATAGTGTATAATGTGAGCCAGGAAAAAGAATAAAGCCTTACCTCTTGTAAACTGAAAGAAGAGCATGGCATTGGGAATGTTGGTGAGGACATCTTCAAAAGCATTTTTTACTGTATCCAGGAATTAGACATTTTTGCCTGGAATCCTTGAGACTGCGTATGTTTCAGCATTCGAATTTCTGGCTATTAAACAGGGAGTGCAGTCCATGCAACGCTTTCTCCTCAAACTCCTAAGGAGTTACCTAAGGAAACTCAGAAAAACAACACTAATTAGAAACTAAATGCCAGGTAAAGTAAATAAACATAACAAACAAGTCAGTGGAAGAAGAGACAAATAATACTAAGGACATTGATAAAGCCTCAAAGGATCATACTATTTATTTTTAAAACATACATGCATGTAAATGCATTCATATATCTGTATATATTCATTATACATATATGCATATCTATACACACACACACACACACACACACACACACACACACACATTCTAAATGTATTCTAAATTTTATCCTTATACCCACAGAGAAGTGTAGCTTTCATCCTTAATCAAAGCTTCCCTTGCTGGGAGAAAGAAACCATTGCAGGAAACTACAACTGGTCATAAGACAGAGATCAACTGACGGTAGGCACCCTAGGCCCCCAATGTATATATCAACAACTCAAGACCTGACCATAAGGCTCAGGGAATATCATGAAAGAGGAGGCAGAAAGATTTTAAGAGCCAGGGCATCAGAAAGTCTACTGTGAGATTGTGGCGGCTAAAAATGGGAGGAAGCTATAGGTACAGTAAGTCAACAGTATGGCTGTCTAAACAAGACCTGAACAATGGCACTATCAGTTGATATGCTTATACAGGAGTGGGAGATCTCACCCAAGGCGTCCTACCTTGAATAAAGAATGTCAGGAACTGACAACTACTGAAAGAGGAAAAATTAATCTCTCCTAAAGGTAAGACTGATACATGGTTTTCCAATGCAAAGTGCTCAGCAATCCCAAACAGACTCAAAAAGTTATATTTATATATGCACATGAATTATATGTATGTGTGAGTGGGTATATAATAATAAAGAAAAGGGACAATGATTTAATATTAAAAATATTAATTCTTAAATTCTTAATTACAAAAGCAGAATAAATTTAGTGTTTTTTTCTCCAAAGAACCATGTTAAAACCTCATTTTATAGTATTGTACAGTATTCTTAGATCAACAATTCTAGGTTGGTCTAAAATATAAAAGATTCATTAGTTTTTATAATGTAGAGATATTTTACATGGTTAATTCAGCTTGACTTTAGCCATAAGCAAAACTCAGGGTCACTGTTTTGCTAAGGCTAGTGTTTCTGCTAGTGTGATTGACAGCTTTCACACTTCATTTTTCTCAATGAACTCATTTAAACTGAGTCAGATAAACTCTGTTCTCTACAGAGGGTAGACGCTGTGTGCTTCTGAACATGAAAAAAAATGCTCATGACTTTTCTTCAGCAACATATTTCTAACATCCTTTTAATAAAAATAATTATTAGTAAGCTGCATTAGTTTCCTGGTAACAAAGCTATTTCTCAGGTGTGGTCTCAGGTGCAGTCGCTGGCTTTGACATGTAACGGTTACAGACAGTAGCAGCTGGATAAAATCCTTAATGTCAGAATTGAAAACAAGATAACAGGGAACACTATTTTCTAAAATGAGTTGGTAAAAGTTTATTTGTATAGCTTGAATCTTACATACGTTGCAGAAGGAAATTAAAAATATATCAAACGACATTTGCGTTCTCTTTGTCAGAACCACGCTGAACAACCCTCGTGGATGCCCTTTAGATGGTGCGCATACTACCTGACTCTTCTTCTTCCCTTGGCAAAATGTGCCTGTATTCAAAACTTCAGCTAATCTACACTTCGATGTCCTTTCAGAAAGGTCTCTACACTCTAATAATAAGTTGTGAGTAATGTGCCCACTTTCCTAACATCTATTTCCTCCTTTGCGAACTACTTTATTCTCAGAAAGAGAGGAAAAAATAGACCTAATACTTTTCATATTACCCTCAGCTATGTCTGCAAGGATATAACATGATGCGATTTTATTTCAAGGGTTTTCTTTTTCCTTTTGGAATGTGGAACGTTGGGTTATGGCTCAGTTTTGTCCAGACTTAAACATCCTTCTCTGTTTTATATGTCTTGCTGGACCCACAGAGTCTGAGAATGTGACAGAGGAGCCCTTCCGTGTCTGGGAATGTAACATAGAACATATTATATTTATTTTTAAATCTTCAAAATTCTTGTAGTAGCTGAAGGCTGGAAAACCGTACTTAAATTATTTCACTGTTGGACATCACATAACAAAGATTATCGTCTCCCTCGCGTTGTTTTCTTGGACTCGCCTTGTTCCTACAGTGCTGTCATAGACCACAGTCACCTCCACATTCTTTCTCCAACCACTCCCTGCCACAGACTCTGAACTAAATGATAGCCTAGTATCAGGAAGGAAGCAAAATGATTTTTTAATTAAAAAGTTTTTTATTTTATTTCATGAGATTATAATTGTATCTTTTCCCCTCAAAAGCCTACCATGTCCCCCTTGCCCTCTTTTAAATCCATGACTTCTTTTTTTAAAAAAAATATTACATGTGTACATAAGCTTGTGTGTGTGTGTGTGTGTGTGTGTGTGTGTGTGTGTGTGTATTCCTAAAGGAATAGATACAACCTACACAGTTTGTATAATGTTACTTGTATGAATATATTTCCATGACTGACCATCTGTTATTGGATAATCAATTAGTATGCTTTTTCCTAAGGAAGACTATTTCTCCATCTCTCAGTAGTTTAGCTGCTGTAGTTATTTGTGTAGGACTGTGACCTCCTAGGGTTTCCACTGCTCACTTTAGCACATCTATTGTTGCCCTTGGTCAGCTCATGGTTAAGTAGGCATGTTGGTGAGACTTAGTGGGTGAAGCTTCTGGCATTTCTAGGAAACACAATCTCACAATAGATTCCCTGACCCTCTGGTTCTTACAGCCTCTTCTGCCTCTCTTTCACAGTGATCTCTGAGCCTTAGGTGTGAAAGCTGTGTTGTATTAGTGATGTATCCTTTGGGACTGGACACCACAAATATGAATTTTATTTGATTGTGGTTTCCTGTAATGGTCTCTGTCTGTGACAATGAACTGTTTTCTTGATGAGGAGTGAGGTCTGCACTTACTTGTGGGTATGAGGACAGATATTTAGATGTAGTTAGGGACTGTGATGGGATAGTAAAGAAGCAACTGTAGATTTTTCTTCAAGATTCATAACTTGCAGTACTGGGTATTAGTTTCCTCTTGTTGAGCTGGTTTTAAGTATAATTAGAGAGCAGTTGGTTACTGCCAAGGTATGAATGCCACTACCACTTTTGTAGGGTTATCACACCATAATGATTGTTATTGTGGTTCATGCATAGATGGGTAGGACTGTTGGGTTCTTCTTCATTATAAGTTTGAGTGCTGCCTTCTGGTACCCATAAAAGCTAGTCCTCAGGGAGAGGTTTTCAGGTCAGTTCCAGCTAGCTCAGGGCCCCCAGTGTCCTTCTACAAAGTACATAGTGTCTTGGCCATCCTGTTAACTTCATGTTCTCCTCTCCCCTTCCCTTTTTCTCTCCCCTTCCCCTTCCCCTCCTCTCTCTACTCTCCTTTCTCTCCCTCCTCCATGCCCCCAATTTTCTCAGGAGATCTTGTCTATTTCCCCTTCCCAAAGGGACCCATATATGTCTCTTTTAAGGCTCTCCTTCTTACCTAGCTTCTCTGGGGTTGTGGACTATTGGCTGGTTATCATTTGCTTTATGTCTAATATCCACTTATGAGTGACTGTGTTTGTGTTCGTTATGTTAAAGGTTGTTCTGTTCCTATAGGATATTCATTACCAGTCTTGGGTTTTGCCCTCTAGATGTAACCAGCAATGACTCTAGAAATTGTCATATACATTCTACAGAACAAACATGCTTGTTGAAAACTACAGGATTGATGCTTCAAATTACATATAGAAGTCAATAATTAAAAGTCTATACATATTTTTTATTTTATAGGCATTCTATATGATTATATGCTTGTCTTAATTATATTAATATTTAATCAGTAATTGATGGAATAATAATTTTCTAAGTGCTGAGTCAGATTAACTTATGTTTTTCCTCTGCTCTAAGTATTGCTACACAATTAAATTTAACAAATTTCTATGCCTTATTTTCATTTTTTGAATTCTATTATCTCTCCTGTTTGTTCCTGTAGCACGATTAATATTGCATTACTACAACACCATGTGGTATTATAATTCTTTCACAAAGAGAAAGAATTATACATGTTCAGTGTATGTGATGGAAGACAAGTTGGAAGTTTATTTATTTATTGATAGAGGAAATGGGAAAGAAATAAAGATTATATTAGTCACAGGGAACTGCTTAACTCTGTGCCTTAGTTAGTATTACTATTGTTGTAATAAAACACCATGACCAAAAGCAACTTGGGGAGGAAAGGATTTGCTTGGCTTACACTTCCACATCACTAATCATCATAGAAGGAAGTTAGAACAGGAGCCTAAACAGGACAGGAACCTGGAGGCAGGAGCTGATGCAGAGGCCATGGAGGAGTGCTGCCTATTGGCTTGCTCTCCATGACTTGCTCAGCCTGCTTTATTATAGAGCCCAGGTCCATTAACCCAAAGAAGGTGCCACCCACAAGAGGCTATACCCTCCTCAATCAATTACCAATTAAGAAAATGCCCTACACTGTTGACCTACAGGCTTGCCTACAACCCCATCTTAAGAAGACATTTCCTCAGTGAAGCCTCCTTCCTCTCTGGTAACTCTAACTTTTATTTATAACTTTTAGTTTTATATCACGTTGATATAAAACTAGCCAGGACACACTGGGAAACTGAAGAGCAAGGAGGAAAGGAGGCCATCTTGATGGATGCATTGTTTTTCTGTCTCTTTTCAAAAGCTCATTAGAATTTTAAAAATGTGATTCCTTTTGGCACTGCTGTTGATGTTCCATGGATGTCTGCGGTCACGTTAGCAATGAAAACATCCTGGAATGCTCTGAGCAATGCTAAGGCCTCCCAGGCTCACTATCCTACACATCACTTGCTGTAATACGGCCAGGTCACGAGGAAATCCTTGCCATTTCCATGACTCAACACATTTAAACCTAAGAGTGTTAGTATCCCTTCAGCTCACAGATCCTTAAAGATATTTTATTCCAGGAAGAGCCAAAGGAAAACCCCTCCGCATTCCAAGTGCCTCATTTAGATGCTAATTAGAAAACGCTTTATTTTTAAAAATTATGAATCACCTTCAAGTCATAAAATAATTGCGTAAGGAAACAACAACCTTTAAGTTTGAAGAAAGGAATGGAATCCTAGATGTTGCAAAGACCACACTGGGCCAATCTTGTTCTAATTCTCTTTGCATCATAGAGTGTTATTCACCTCTGGGTTGCAACAGAGAGGTTGAGTGTGTTTATGGGTTATTGTTTTCGCAGACAGAAATACGCAACTGCAGAGAAGCAGGACCCTGGAATAACTGCAGTCGCTAGTGTACCTCGCTGAAAGAAGTCTATGAACCAGAGAGACCTCCTATCCAGGCAGAAGCAATGAAGGCAGACTGCAAAAGCTGGTACAGAGAACTGCCTGTACCAACTGATCTGGGGCTTTCCACATCCTTGCTGCCTGTCTCTTCCGCAGTCTGGAACTGAAGCAACACTACAAGCTCAGACAAGATTGATGTCTTTCTCTTGACCTTACAAGCTGTTGAAAGCACGTAACAGTTTTTGTACAGAAATGAAGAATTTATAGCTTCCTCCTAGAAATTTGGGTTCACATTCTGGACCTTGAGGCCAGATTTGAGCATTACTTGTCACTGTCCCCAAAATTTGTTCTGTCTCCATTACTCTTCCTTGACCTCATGAAAACCCTGTCCTTCTTAATAGAAAAATCCTTCAATGCTACTGCCTGGGGGAAACATGGCCAGATATAGAGGGGCATGAGGCCTCTGGGGAAAACCAAGGAGGAATTATAAAGGGAAAAAGAGAGAGGGAGGGTGAGGGGGTTGGCGAACTTAAAATTGGGAGCCAAACAGCTAAGTGGTTTGTCTGGCAGCTCTAAATGTCCTTTACCTACATCTCAAAGAGGATATCCTAGATTAACATAACAGGGACATAAGAGGTTAATTTGTTACCATTTCTTTTGTGGCAGGGATTGTAGGCCAGATGCTGCAGATAGTAAGAGAAATCATTGTGGAAGACTGCCAGCCAACAAGCATGGCTAGAGAACGGGGGACATAAGAAGGGCACACCACAGCCAGGCCTGCATGGAGAAGCTACAGTCCTTTCCTGTGACCCCAGCAATGGATGTCTAATGAGTTTACAGTTACTTTATAATTTCCAGGATGGCTTCATCCTGAGAATTGCTACACTGTACATACCTGTCAAGTGTAAAGAGAAAACTTCACTTCCCAGTAAGAAATGAAACAAAAATCTACTCCTTGGTCTCTCTGAATTTCCAGAATCTAGTAGTCTCTGGATTTCCAGAATCTAGGCACATTGACACCAGACAAAGCAATGACATTAACATCATGATGCCTTTCCCAAACACAGGGTATTTCAAAACATTTCAGGAAAATAAAGTATTAACAGAAACTGTCTAATAAACTCATGATGGAACATTATTTGCTTTTGTAGCTAATGATAAACTTTCTTTTAAACCAGTGTTTGACTTTTTTTTGCTACAACCATGAATTGTCTCCACTTGCCAAACACCAGGTTCTAACAAGAGAATTATATCTGCCAATACCATAGTTATAAAACTGTATCTAACCACCTTAACCAGTTTGATTTTTTATGGCATTACTAGATATTCTCTTAGGTTTAGTGAACCGTCCCTACCATTTTTCTTTGCTTTGTTTTTGTTTACCCTTTGAAAGACTGGTTTGGAAGAGCTGTTCATGTCACATAGCAAATAAATTAGCCATGTGACTGTCTCATGATTTTGGAATATTTTTGCATCTTATATTTCCATGATATATGATACATTTGTTTGCCACACACATTTTAAAAATATATAATAGACTGCATGAATTCTAATTAGGAAGACATATTTTAAATCCTTTATAATTTTCCTGATTCCTTTCTCAGACTATTTGTTGTTTGTATACAGGAGGGATACTGATTTTTGTGAGTTAATTTTGTATCCAGCTACTCTACTGAAAGTGTTTTTCAGCAGTAGATGTTCCTTGATAAAAATTTTAGGGTCATTTATGTATACTATCATATTATTTGTAATAAAGATATATTGACTTTTTCCTTTCCAGTTTGTATCCCTTTGTCTCCCTTTGTTATTGCTCTAGCTAGAACTTTGAGTACTATAATGAATAGATATGCAGAGAGTGGACAGCCTTGTCTTGTTCCTGATTTTAGTGGAATTGCTTTGAATTTCTCTCCATTCAATTTGATGTTTGCTGTCAGCTTGTTGTATATTGCTTTTATTATGTTTAGGTATGTTCCTTGCATCCCTAATCTCTCCAAGACTTTTATCACGAAGAGGTGTTGGATTTTGTCAAAGGCTTTTTCGGCATCTGATGATGAGGTGAGGTGATTATGTGACTTTTTTCTTTCAGTTTTTTTATATGGTTTACTGGCAGATTTTCAAGTGTTGAACCATCCCTACATTTCTGGGATGAAGCTGCCCACTTGAGAATAGAGGATGATGACTTTTTTGTTGCATTCTTGGATTCAATTTGCCAGCATTTTATTGAGTCTTTGGTCTGTAAACATCTTTCTTTGTCGAATCTTTACATAGCTGAATATCAGGGCAAGTGTGACCTCATTTCTGAAATTTTATATCATGCTCACAAATTCATGTTTCAATTATTTATTTTACTATTTGCAAAATTTTTCAAAGATTTACATGTGTGTGTCTGTGTGTGTCTATGTCTGTGTAAATTCTATCTGGAATGAAGTTCAACTTTATAAAGAACATAACTTAATTTTCTATCATTTCGGTATATAGGTATAATAAAACTTTTTCTGATGTGAAATAGGAAATATGAGCTGATGGCTTAATGCTTAAGTGGGTAAAGCTGAAAACCTGGCCACCTGAGTTTGATCATCTGAACGTTAAGATGGAAGGCCTCCATAAAATAATTCTCAGACCTCTATAGGTGCACCATGGCATAAACAGACACACACACACACACAAATGCACACACACACACCATGAACATACACACAAGAAGTTATCTTTTAAAAGTATTAACTGCCATTTTTACCATATTACATTTCCCACATGAACAGTTTCTGACAGCTCAGTCTGTCTTCTATGTGACAGCATCAATCTAGTCATAGATTTGATGAACTTCCCTGAGTGCCCACTCTGCTGATTTCTGTTCTTCTATTTTAGGCCCCAGAGACACATCAGTGTTAACTCCTTCTAAATAAGCATAATAGTAATTGAGAAGGCAGAGGAAGAAGAGAGAGGAAAGGAAGTCAGCATGACCTGTTTCCCTAAGGAAAACCAAAGCCAAGAGGCAGATGCACTTCAGGCATGACACTTTTAATTGGTCAGTTAACAAAGGTGGAGTGTGGCATGTTGGCCGGCTGGCTTGTTGGGGTTTCTATCCCGCCCAGTACCCCACAACCAGCAAGTCCCAAAGAAAATCACACAAAGTCTACATTAGGTTATAAAACTGATTGGCCCATTAGGTCAGGCTACTTGTTAGCTCTTATAACACATATTACCCCATTATCTTTATCTACATTAGCCACACGGCTCAGTACCTTTTCTAGCTGGGCAGCTCACATGTTGCTTCTTTGGTGATCTGGGCAGGAATGGAGGAATGCGCTTCCTCCTTCCTAGCCTTCTCCTGGTCTCATTGCCCCGCCTCTACTTCCTGTCTGGTTGACCCGCCTATACTTCCTGCCTGGACAATCAGCGTTTGATTAAAATACATGATTGACAGAATACAAATACAGACAATTCTCCTGCACCAGCGGAGGCATCAAAAAACAAACATCCAAAGAAGATGAGGGAGCAAATTCTCAGCTATTTGGGGAGAAAGGATAGGCATCAAGTGATTGCATGTTTGAGGGACTCTAAAGAAAACAAGGTGGCTGAGCAAGGCCAGCAAGAGATAAAGGAGGAAAGGGTTTGAGGTTAAAAGAGAGGAGAAAGAACTGACTCCTGTATAACAGGAAGCCTCCAGCAGGTTTTAAATAAAGAATTATACAATAGGATCTATATATTTAAGACTACAATGTCAAATACATTAAGAATAGTTACTCAGAATTAAGATACAGCAGTTAAAGCTATTTCTGTATAGTTCTTATTTTAGTATATTAATTGCCTTCAAGGACTCTCACCTTCCTGTGTGATCTACCACCTTTTAAACTCTTGTATTATTCTAAAAGTCCCTTTTCTTTAACAATAAAACTGATCTTATCCCCTACCTTAGATCTTAGCAGTAGAGATGAAGACAATAAGACATGGTAGAAATATTATGAATATATTTGAAAGCAACATCAATGGGGTCAGTTATATGAGTATGAGAGGGGGGAAAACGCACAGATTATTGTGCTATATTTGATCCAACAACTGAGCAAAGGGAATTACTATTAAGTGGTTGAGATTACGGAAAACAAAGGCTTGAAGGAAAATATCAAGATTGCTAAGAATGTTGTCTATTCCACATCTGCACCACAAATGGACAAATTAAATATAAAAGCCACAACTAATTACTATTTCACTGCCATGACTATGATATTCCTTAAGAGTGTTACAAACATCCCAGCGTCCTTTCCAGGCATCTGGTAAGATGATGCTCCCACATTCAGAGGGAGTTAGGTGTGGCCAACTTATTTTCTGTAGTCAGTGCATTAGCTACCAGCAACTTCAATTATCTCAGGCCCAGTCAACCAAATTCAAGAACAACTAGAAAGATTGTGATTGGTGTTGAGAACCAATGACACTTTGAAAAACTGTTGCTTGGAGTGACTTGGGAGAAAGATAACAAATCAACTTCAGTTTTCATTCACAAAGTCAGAATTCAATGTGACCATTGTGTGATTGTTCTTATTTGCTTAATTTATAAAATATTTTGAGAAAGGTGAATTTGGGAAAATGTTTAAATTTAGTTAGGCATTAAAACAAGTGAAATGAAATAGTGAATCCTGACTTGAAAATTCCACTAATTTTCTTTTTCTCATCTTGTAAAAAAAAAAAACAAAGATGCCCTACAATGAGAGAAGCCAACTTTAACTCAACAAGGATAAAGTTAAGAGTATGCCTGTCAAACCCAAATTTAATAGTTCCAATTGAATTAAAGAGAGCAGAGCAGATTGCGACCAAAAGTCTTGTGAAATCTTAACCAACACAAGGTGGAAACAGGTCAAACACAGCAATGTAATTTGTATGTCTACGAATGAAACGTGTGGTTCTTGGGAGCATACAACTGAGCATAGTGTGGCAGACACTATGCCTTGCTATTTTTAACATCTGATTGCTTATGCACATGCATATCTGAACTGGAAAAGGTCAGTGGCTTAGACGTGTCTTGGCGATCCAGCTTTCTACAGCTGTAAAGAATGATAAAATTGCTTGGCACTCAGAAGCAGACCAATTTTCCAATTTCTGCTTTAGATTAGATTGAAAAGCAATCTATCAGAGAATCCTGGCTGGATTTCAGCATTACTGTGTAGTTGATTTGTGTTTCGCTCTAACCCTTTTCTAAAAGTGAACTTATGTTTTGGTAGCCCTGTCCTTCTGCTACCACTACATTTAGCATGTTGGAGGTAGACCATTTATCTTTTATGTTATGAGACCTGAAGACCAAGAAAAGCCATGCCCAGATGTGGATACATGACTGTGGAGTTTTCCTGGGAGATCATAGACTTAGAATTCTGTACATAAAATGACTGAGTACAACTTTTTAAAGAAGGAATTTCGGGATCAGAAGGGCTCAAGTTTGCTTTAGGGCTGCTCTCAAGAGTCCCCATTCTCCTTCATAACAGAAAGAAATCACATTCCCCCAATTCATTTGACGGCAATTGGACATATTGCTAATTTGTGACAAGAAACACAGGTGACTAATGCCCCTTTAGGTGAAAATTTAAAAAAGGTATTTACCCACAACCCTTTATTGATGCCCCAGCATTATGAAACTACATGATGAGATGGATCCTCTACTGTCCTTGATTCTCACTGTGATGTGCAGAGCTCTCTTTCTTTTTTTATTGATATTTATTGAGTTCTACATTTTTCTCTGCTCCCCTCCCTGCCTCTCACCTCCCCCTTTCAATCCCCCCAAGGTCCCCATGCTCCCAATTTACTCAGGAAATCTTGTCTTTTTCTACTTTCTACAGAGCTCTCTTTTGAAACTGTGCTGAATACAAGCAGTGAGCAAGAAACAAATATTTTGTGTCTCTCTGAGATTGTATAGTTGCAGCTTCTATATAACTTCACTTAACCTGATTCATGGTACAGTTTTTATTCTCTCATAAGCCCAAAATGCTAGTAGGGCATGGCACTTGCCATGAAGAGGCACAAAGTACTAGACACTAAATCAAGTCACTGACAACTAAAACAGCAAAGTCTTAATACCTGAACAGTTTGGAGATGCCAGAAGGAAGTCTGCTGGCACTGTATGAAAATCTACAAACATTTAGAACAGCTAGAGCTACAACCAGGTCTCTCATTTCAGAACAGGTGGTGGAACTGAAGAGACCCAGAGGGCCCTCTGGAGCACGTACCTGCCCCTCTATGTCACCAGTGCTACAAGAACTGCAAAGACGAGTTACAGAAAAGGTGACGATTGACAATAGTAACTAGCCACAAAGCTGAAGTGTTCGCCTCCTTCTGCCCCTTGCCTCATTTCACTGAAGGGACAATTAGAGAGAGAGGTGGCATTATCCCTGGTGGACTGCAGTCCTGGGTGCCTCCGTGGGAGTAAAACAACCCAGAAGCCAGTCACACCCATTCTTCATTCCAGAGTCACTGGGGAGGAAAGGGAACTTTAATCAGATAGATTACAGTCTCGAAACGGACTCACTTTAAATAATCAAAAGTGAACAGAATTTTAACTCATCCAAGATGTTAAGATCCAAGGAAGAAGGGTTTATTTGAGCATGGTTTCAGCCCCTGGCTGGGGAAAAACAGACCGGTTCCGTATTCACTCCCACTGAGTTCCAACTGTTGAAGAAACTAGTTACAGCTGTGAGCCTGTTAGAAAACTGTTTACAAAGATGAATGCAAGCTTTGTA